CCTTGTCTCTACAATAAATCACAAAGACTAGCCGAGCGTGGTGATGTGCGTCTGCAGTTCCAGCTACTTGGGAGGCTAAGGCAGAAGGATTGCCTAAACCCAGCAGGTCAAGGCCGCGGTGGCCGTGAGTGTGCCACTGCACTCTAGCCTGGGCAGCAGAATGAGACTCCGACTCAAAAAAAAAAAAAAAAGAGCTTAACATATTAAATGGATCCTTGGCTGGGCACGGTGACTCACACCTATAATCCCAGCACTTTGGGAGGCCAAGGTGAGAGGATTGCCTGAGCCCACAGGTTTGAGATCAGCCTGGGCAACTTGGCGAGGCCTCATCTCTACAATAAATCAAAAAATTAGCCGGGCATGGTGGCATGTGCCTGTAGTTCCAGCTACTTGGAAGACTGAGACAGAAGGATCATTTGAGCCCAGCAGGCTGAGACTGCGGTAGCTGTGAGCACGCCACTGCACTCCAGCCTGACAGAGTGAGACTTTGACTAAAAAAAAAAGTATCCTTAATTCCACAAGAAAAGAAAAAAAGAAAGAAAGAAAAGTAACAAAAACAAGGATTTCCTCATTCCTTTAGATAAAAAAACGGCCAAATGTCAAAGACAGCAATTATGGCCACAGGTCTTGGTATTTCCCAGTCCTCACAAAGTCTTCTCAATTGTTGGCTAAAAAGCTAGCAAAGGCCAAAGACAGTTTCATACTTGCTCTTTCTAGCCATTTTGGTGAGAAAAATGTACAATATCTTCATGTCAAAACAACCAGGCATATTTTATTTCAGTGGCCTGCTAAGTAATAAATGCACAAGAGGAATTCTTTATTGAAATAAAGGCTGAATCATGCAAGCTAAATTTGAAAAAGACAGTGATCTTTTGTAAGATTGTTTATATTTGCTCAGAGTTGCAGGCTTTGGTCTTGCCAACTCATCTTAGCCAATTAATGATTTAAATGGGAAAGTTTTAATGTTACAGTGCAAATGAATAGGTTGTGGGATTAAGTACAGATGATTTTAAGCATTATGTGATCTCTCCTACTCAGCCAGCCATGGTCAGGACCTGTGCCAAATTAAACTACAAGAACCAGTGTCTTAAAACTATGACCAAAAACAAGCAAAAAAAACTATATCCAAAATTATTTTATAATTTAATTCCCTTTACTTATCATGCCTTCTTGATTTTGAAATGTTTAAATCTAGTCATTGGTCATAATCATTACGACTAAAACATATAACTATATTGAGTCTTAACAGATATAAAATATCAACTATCTTGGCTTAGTTTCCTCATTGGCCTGACACCCCTCTTTTGTGCCCTCCTTGTGTTCCAAGTACTTAGTTATGTTTTTCATGTGCTTTGTGATATTGATGTATCTATTAATATATCTTTTTTCCTTCATATGACTTAAAGCTTCTCAGGGCTATTCATCTGTGTTTCCTAAGTGCCTGGCAAATTTAGGAGCTCAGTAAACGTATGTTCAGTGGAACTGAACAAGCTCCGATTAAAACGTCTTCATGCAGTGTGGTGCCACACTTCAGTGACCTCACACTGGGGCTCACACGAAAGCAGTGAATCTTGTGATGGCACATGGAATGCCTTTCATATCTCTGTGGCCCAGGAATGCAGTAGTAGGATAAATTACCTAACAGTAAATGTCGTGGATTAGAGGGAACAGGGAAAGAAGGAAAGAAAAGGGGAACGAAACTGCCAATAGAACACAGTTATTTCACTATTTTAGTTTTTTTCCCAATGAGATTTCAAAATAACCCCAAATCTTAGTTTCTTAAATAGGTTCTAATAACATACTGTGTTACTCTATTATATTTCCTTAGCAAATTCAAAGTTCATGAATTCATGTTTTAAATGCTATTCTGAGTTACATACTATCTTAATCTTCAGACTTGCTTTAACAACATTGCAATTTCTACTTTGTATATAGTATGCATGATACAGAAAATCCCACTGAAATAATGTTATATTTGCACATTTTAGAAACTGAATATATGAAGGTCTTGTGAAGAAAAAGGACAGAGTTATGAGACAGAAGGTGGGGAGATTTGGGGGAAAGAAACTCATCTTTATTGTGAAATTTTTAAAAAATATAGTAGTATGGTACAGTAGGAAAAAGAATTTAAAGAATGTATTTATTTGCTCTTTTTACCGTTAGATAGCTATATGATCTTGGGACAATCACTTGACCTCAATTTTCTTGTCTGTAAGATGAGCATGTAATCATAACTGTGAGAGAGAGAGAGAGAACACATTTATATTAAAGAAGGAAGTTAGGAAGAAATGAAATCTTGTCCCATAGAGATTAAAATAAAGGCTCCTACTGTCAGATCATATAAATTTAAAAGTTACTTCAGAGAACTTGAGCTCTACTCTCTTTAAAGAGGAGAAACTTCACCCAAAGAGACCTGTGGTCTGGTTCAGATTCAAGGGGAGAAATTTTTGTTCAGGGAAGAAGGTGCAATTATAGCAAAACACTCCAGGAGTGTTGACTGATTCCCTTTTAGAAGATCCTTAGGCAGTAATTCTGACCTTGCCTGGGGATTATAAGAGAGAATATTATGATCAGCTCTGGGATAGGAATGTGCTTAAGAAGCACATTTTAGAAGTGCCTACTCCTGCCAGAGACCTCTGGAGATTTCCTGACACCTCAAAGTCTGACTGCCAAGGGGTGTCTGGTTATAATTAGTCAGATTTTTGTTAAGTGTTATTTTTGTGATAAGTTAAATATTTCAGTACAGTTAATTAGCCACATTTTAATTAGACCTAATTCGGGATTATTTTTCTCAGACTATCCTTCTACCTGTTTGTAACTACCTCACCTAATTGGGGAGTAAGTAGTTTTAATCCATACTACGAATTTTGAGTTCACTACCCTGAGTATACTTCCAGGCTTTCGGAAATAGCAGCCCTGCTACCTGCAGATATGGCGAGATCCAGCCTACCTACTATGGGAGCCCATCCTGATCAAGCATGTCCATGGTGTAGGAATTCTGCTTACTTCAGCTGGCGGGGCTTTGTGATAAGGCTCTGTCCTAAGCTCAGGGCCAAATGTGACCCAGGAACCCAAGTGCCCACACAGCTGTCCAACTATATGCCTCAGCTTCTCACGGGCTTACTTCCTTGCTGGGGTGACCCTCTGCTCTGGTTGTCAACCTGCTTACCTGAGTCCTTAACAGCATACCCAGTTCTTGCCAGGCCCTTCTCACCAGAGATTCCTTCTCCCTGGAAGTTCACATGGCTGCTACACATAGCACTGCATGGATTCTCCGAGCCTTACAGCTTGCAGTGTTGTGTTATCTACTCTAGTTGCCATGCCTCACACTTCAGGACTGACTGGCACTACTAAAGCCAGTCTAGATCAACCCAAGTTAATCTCATCCACATGAACACTGTGATTTGAACTGCTGGCCATTCCCCGAGGGAACCAGCCCATAGCCCAGTTATCTCCCTGGCTGTTCTGGGTTTCTTCCCACTGCAGGCACCCGCTGCTAGGATCCCAGTATGCACCAGTACCAGCTAGGGGGTTTCCAATTCCAGTTTTACCAACAAGCTTACAAATCCTCCAGGGACACAAAAGGAGTCTAACTGTTCTCTGCCTCCACCGAGAATAAACCGGGAGGAAACTGGGAGTAATGTATGTACAGCAAGTACTTTGATACTGACACAAAATTTTTTATTGGTAGGCAAAATGAGATACAGTTTGCTGTATTAAGTGGTGGCCCCAGTTAAAATACTACTATGTTTACCTGCTGCAACAAAATATACAAAATTACAGAATCATTGCTACACAAGCCTAGTACTAACAATCTAAAATGCAGTCTCTAAAGCTGAACACAAGGTTGAGCATGGTGACTCAAGCCTCTAACCCCAGTACTTTGGGAGACTAGAGGATTGCTTGAGGCCCAGGAGTTTGAGACTAACCTAGGCTACATAGCAAGACCTTATTTCTACAAAAAAATCAAAAAATTAGGTGCGGTGGTAGTCCCAGCTACTTGGGAGGCTGAGGTGGAAGGATCACCTGAGTCCAGGAGGTCGAGCCTACGGTGTGCCCTGATTGTGCCACTGCACTCCAACCTGGGCAACAGAGTGAGACCCAACTCAAAAGAGAGAGAGAGAGAGAGAGAGAGACATAACCAAACTGACTCCATTACATCTGCTGGATGTGTCTAGAGTTCGTTTCTAACTAGGGACCACTAACTGACCAACCACTCAGATGTGCCCTGTATATTCGGCCACCATTTTTGGAGAAACATCTGGTGTTTTTATTACCTTGCTGTGGCTAGGGGAATTTTCCATTCCCCTCCAGGGCCCTCTGTTCTTTTGAGTGAGTGTTTGTGCTGCTGCATACAGATTCAGATTTACCGTCCAGCTTTCCTCCTTTGTGCAGTGCTGACTCATTTTCCCCCGATACTTGTACATATGCCGCTTGCTGTAGTCCCTTGATCTCTCTTGGCAAATGACAGTAAGGCATTTTTGAAGTGTTGGAAGCCTTTTACTGGAGTTTTATCCAGCTGTCCCTGTTTGGTATGTTGGCAAAAGAGACCCACTCTGCATTTGTGTAGAATTTGCCCATTATTTCTGTTCCTGCCTCTCAAGTGGAACCAGGTTAGCAAATGATAGAAAATTTAATCCAGATGATTTGTGATAAGAAATATGTTTTGTAAAAAAGACCACTCAGTCATAAAGAATGCTTAGAATGAGATTATGCAAATGCTCCTATTATCACACTTTCAAGTGGTACAGGCACTCTTGATTCCGATGCAAAGCAAGGAAATTCTGGTTAACTTTTATTTATTCAATTTTTCTGCTTTAAATGAGCAGAGGTTCACTAAAGCATAAAAGAAATTAGGCCTTCAAAGAGGCCTGCTTCATAATCACCTATATGCTTCATAGCCCAACAGAGATGATAAATACGTTTGCTGTGGCCTCATAGCTTATCATTTACCCATGCACTGCTGCAACAGAAACGGTTGTCATGCTCTTTAATTTCAGGAAACCTGTGATCTGGGGAAGATAAAACCTGAAGCCAGACGATACTTGGAAAAGTCAGTAAAAATGGGGAAAAGGAATGGGCTCCATCTTCCAGAACAAGTACAGAATGTGAGTGTATTTTTTTTTTTTTTTACTTACTGGAAAGAAATGAATAAATAAAACAAAATACAGGTTGAGCATCCCTAATCCAAAATGCTCCCAAATCTGAAACTTTATGAGTGCCAGTATGACACTCAAAGGAAATGCTCATTGGAGTATTTCAGGGTTTTAGATTAGGCATGCTCTGCCGCTAATAATTCAAATATGCCAAAATCAAAAAAACTCCAAAATACTTTTGGTCCCAAGCATTTTGGATAAGGGATACTCAACCTGAACTACAAAAACCAAGAAATAGGGAGACAGATGGGTTGTAATAAAATAACCCATAATACAAATCCATTTACAGTGTATTTCGTACTCAATGGTTTAAATTCTACAACTCTTGTTAACCTTATGATGACTTAGACAACCGATAACTTAATATTTCTTTAATCTTTTTCAAATTTTATTAATTTCATGTGTGATGGGCTTATTTTCCCTGCTCTATTTTTACATCCTTTAAGAGCTGATTCCAGGTCTTAATAGTTGATTTGTATTCTCACTCCCTTGGTCATACTGAGAATAAAATCCTTATTGATGAGAAGTTTCCAAACCAGCACTTTGGAATGGAACACCCTATGATTAACACATAAAAGGAAAGAGAGAATAACTGGTGAAAAATGCTTCTCAATCTTTTTCTTTTGTTTAATGCTAGTCAGGTCTTCCAGATTCAGAAACAAACTTAGCTGTGGAATTAACCTCTTTGTTATTGGACAGGAAGTATAATCTATGATTTATTTCCAGGTCAGTCTTCTAGCTAGCAGAACTGGAAATAGTTGGAAAGAAATCCAAATTAAGGGATATCAACATGGTAGATATAACTGAAGGCACCACTGAGATATGGGCACCTTTCTCCCATCTAAGCTCTTTGATAAGGTTGTATCCTCTTCATCCTAATTAGACAAGAAATGTGACTGATCTCCCTTACTTGACCCTTTGTCTTCCTGGTCAATCCTCAATTCTGTTTGGAGCAGAAACATCGTATTAGTTAAGATGCATTTGGTTGAAGCTAAGCTAAAAAAAAAAAAAAAAATCCCTGTTTAAACAAGTGATTTATTTGCTTTATAAGTGGAAGGTTCAAGAATAGAAGGGCTTCACAGGTTAATTTGATCTAGATGCACAGTGGTATCATTGGCCATACTCTTTCTTCCTCAGTGTTAGTGTTAACTAAAGGCTGGTTTCCTTTCATTACTAGAATGGCTATATATCTAAAAATTCCACCATTCATAAAGACATAGAGAAGTTTCCATCAAACCTCCTCTTATGTCTTAATGACCCACAGTAGATCCTATGGTTAACTTTGAATCCACCTTTAGTCAGTAGACTATCAGGCCTAGGCTATCTGAACCAGTCACTAGGGCAGTGGGGATGGAATGATTTTACCTAAGGTTTAGAGGTCACACCCCTGGTGCTGCAGATAGGGTTAGGTCCTATCTGAACTACATGGGTGCTGTAGAGTGGGGTAGAGGTGGAAAGGGATTGAGGAAACAACCAGAGCATCCAAAAACAACACTGAACAGTATGTGTTAAGTCTGTAGTCTCAAAGTTAGTATGCATTAGAATTATTTGGAGGGTTTGTGAAAACGCTAATTACAGGGCACAATTCCCAAGGAGTTTGCCCTTCAGTAGACTTAGTATGGTACCTCAAAAATGTGCATTTCTGACAAGTTCCCCAGTGATGCTGATGTTACTGGTCAGGGCCACACTTTGAGGACCAGTGTGTTTTAAGTAAGTTGCATTGTCTAGCCTTGTAAGAAGAATGGGACAATTAATAACATTATTTTATGCTTTTTCTTGTGGTTTCCTTCTTATTGCTTCCTTTGATCTCCCACCTAATATATTTTGTGCAACGATTAGGGTCCATAAATCACGTTTGTTTACAAAAACTCTGTTATACAAAGACATCACTTTTTTCCCCAAAGTAACCATAGAATTAGTTGCTCAGTACTTATCTCTTGTTTTACTTCACCACCAGATATACTGATTACTAAACTAAAATTTTGAATTGGAAAATGTTAGAAATATGCTAATCATTAATCGGCTGCTAGATTTGTTCATTTACTGTGCAACTGTTTCTTGTGTGTGTTCTGTGTGTCAGAGACTGCTTTTCTAATACATCACCACGCTTCCCTTTCTGTAAGTTCTACACATAGATACGCATAGACATGACAGAAAATTGTAAGAAGCTATCTTATCAAGTGCATCTCTACAAAAGTACTTCCTGAGGACTGGGCACAGAAGTCAGTCTCATATAAAAGTGAAACTTACTTGACTGATGACAGTAAAAATGAAAGTTTTTATTTTTTAACAATGTCTTGTATTTTTGTCTTCATTTCAGGAAATCAAATCAATGAAGAAAAGAATGAGTGAGCTCTGTATTGACTTTAACAAAAACCTCAACGAGGATGATACCTTCCTTGTATTTTCCAGGGCCGAACTTGGTAAATGTTGTTCTTTTTCTAAGTTAAATCACATAATTTAGATAAATAATGTCACCCCACAGTTTGCTTCATTTTCAAGATACAAAACCTAAATCAAGGTTCACAGAATTATTTTTAAAAAATGATTCAGTACCTAACTCCACCTCCTCTTCTACAGAAAAAACAACCAAACCAGCCAAAGTTAGATTTTTGGCTAATAAGAGTGTATACTATTTCTGGAGACTGTTCAGAAGTGATTTCATAATCTCTTTTTTTTATATAATCTTTTTTTGTAATTTATGCTGGTGTTTAAGAGTCTTCACTGCCTTGGAATTTTTTCTGCCTTGTGGTATCTTCTATGTTATATCTTAAACCAGTGTGTTCTTATTCTTTTCTGGGTCTTTCTTGGCTTAATTGTGCTTATTCTCCATTAAAACACCATCTGCACAAGCCCACTGAAGCCTTTTCATGTTTTGAATTACCATCTCCTGAACCAACTGACCTCTGGCTACCATCCCCTTTCTAACAACATCAAAATTATAAGAACTGTCATTATTTTACTTAAATTTCAGTTATCCCACAAAAATTTCTAGAGCTACTCAAAGGCACCGTGCCAGTGCCAAATAAACCAATAATAAGTGGAAAAATTGATGTATGAGGAAAATGATTTTTTGCAGGTGCTCTTCCTGATGATTTCATTGATAGTTTAGAAAAGACAGATGATGACAAGTATAAAATTACTTTAAAATATCCACACTATTTTCCTGTCATGAAGAAATGTTGTGACCCTGAAACCAGAAGAAGGATGGAAATGGCTTTTAATACAAGATGCAAAGAGGTATTTTAAATGTCTGTCTTTCTTTTGTTTTTAATGAAAGATTTTAAGAAAAAGGTTTGTGCTGTTTACCAGTGTTAAAGTCAGCTCAGAAGCTGATGTTCCTATTTATGTGTGCATTGTGTTTCTAATTCCTTAGACTTGGCTTTTTAGGTTTTTGCTGCTCATTGGCAAACTGCTCAGTGTGGCCAGACTAAGCTATTCTAATGAAAATAGATCATAAACTAGACATTGTCCCTCTTCTAAGTCAATAATCCAGGACTATTAAGACATCTGTCCCCCAGCAAGTGACTTCCAAGTTCATTCTTTGGAATGGCCAATTCCCAGCCTATTGGGAAGGAGGGAAAAGAAAGTACAGAACAAGTATCTTTAAGGAAAAAACCTGGAAATGACTTACATCAACTCCACCTTATTTGACCCCAATTTCATCATATAGCCATATCTAGCTGCAAGGGAGGCTGGGAAATGTAGTCTTTAGTTGACAGGCATTTGCTCAGCTTAGGGGTTTCTTTTTTTTTTTTTTTTTTTTGAGTTAGAGTCTCACTCTGTCACCCAGGCTGCGGTGCAGTGGCACGCTCCTGGCCACTGCAGCCTTTACCTGCTGGACTTAGGCGATCCTTCTGCCTCAGCCTTCTAGAACCACAGGCACATGTTACCATGCCTGGCTAATTTTTTGATTTATTGTAGAAACGAGGTCTCACCATGTTGCCCAGGCTGGTCTCGATCCCACGGTCTTAGGCAATCCTCTTGCCTCAGCCTCCTAAAGTGCTGGGATTATAGGTTTCTATTATTGAAAGAAAAAAAAGTAAGAATCAGAAATGAATTCTTATAGTCAACTAGCTGGTTTCACCATAGTCTACCTCTCTGTTTATCCAAGTAACCATGAGGAACCTTTTTTTCCCCCACACTTAGGAAACATTCACCATTTGTCAGTTTCTAACCAGTTCCTGCCTTGAGTTCAAAGACCAGGATCTCTGGGTGATACATAGTCCTCCCCATTTATAGCTTCTCTTGATCTAGCAACCTATTAAAGGAAAGACAAGTTATCAGCATCTCACCCCTAAAACACAGCCCCAGTGATGGAATAGGAACAGAATGACCATACTAAGAATCCCTGTTTGGAAAAAGAAAGAATGAGAAACAGCGGGCCCATATCTGTTTTCAAAAACGGACAGGAATTGTGAGGATTCTGAACTATGGTGACGTTGCTTGGTTAGTCCATTGAATTTATTCAGGTCTGCTTTCTGGCAAGAATTCCTGTGTCAAATGTATTCTGTGTCCCCTGTTTTGCCGGCAGAACTTCTTTCCTGTCTATTATCCTAAATGACTATATCTTGGGGGACTGCTGGTATAGATTCCTGCTGATGACAGTTAGAAGCCCAAGGATTGCTTTAGGGATCAAATAATCACAGGCTTTTATAGGCCAGATGTATGATATCTTTGGTAATAAAATTCCCTCAAAAACTTAGGTTTCTTGTCTTTGCTTCCAATGAGATGCATGTTAAAGGGACTATACCCAAATTTCACTTTTGGTCATAGTTTTTAAACTTGCCACATCTTAAATACTGGCTTTTATATTCTGTCTGTCTCATTCTTTTTCCATTTATTGAGGTCTGCTTTCAGGTCCTCTGACATAATAGGCTTGAGGAGGAAGGCAGCATTCTCAAATTAATCTCTCCAATTCAGTAACTCTGAGCAGCATTCTTTTCTCCTGATGTTAAGAGCACAGGAGCAATTGGCCTTTCCAGCCATCTGAAGCCCCAGACCATAGGCAGAACCTCCCTTAACAGAATTCCTTCCCTTCCTTCTTTGCAAACTGACCAGTTCTCACCTGAGCACATCTCTCTCATGTCATCTTTTCAAAAGCAACAAATGCTAACAAACACATGTCAACATTATTATTTTTCCCAAACAATTCCTCTAGAGTTGTGGATTCATGGCCAGGCTCAGTGGCTCAGCCTGTAATCCCAGCACTTTGGGAGGTCGAGGCACGTGGATTGCCCGAGCCTGTGGGTTCAAGACTTGTCCGGGCAACTTAACAAGACCTCATCTCTACAATTAAAAAAAAAAAATCAGCCGGGCATGGTAGCATGCGCCTGTAGTTCCAGCTATTTGGAAGGCTAAGGTAGAAAGATCCCCAGAGCTCAGCAGGTCGACGCTGGGATGGCCATGAGCATGCCACTGCATTCCAGCCTGGGTGACAGAGTGAGACTCCAACTAAAAAAAGAAAAAAAAAAAGACTCAGTAGGTACATAGTTTGCCTTCTAAGTTAGGACAAGCAGCAGTTTTTATAAATGTTATCCATGATCTAATGAGGATCACCAGCTTCCCAGTCTGCAGTGTCTGTGTCCTCATCCTTCACTCCTGAACATTTTTCCTTTGTGTTATAGCAGTACCTTATTCTTTGTATTTGTCTCTGTATATGTCAGGGTACAGGCTAAGGGACTTTACAAAAGTCAGCCAAAAGCACAGTGACTCAAATAAGATAAAAGTTATTTCTCTCCAGAAAGTAGATTAGAGATTACTATGGAATGTGGGGAGGGGAGACTGGAGAGTTAATTGTCAGTGGTTGCAGAGTTTCTGTTGGGGGAAAACAAAATGGAAAAAATTTTTTAGAAACAGTAGTAATGGTGGACAACAGCATGAATATAATTAATGCCACTGAATTGTACACTAAAAAGTGACTAAAATGGCAGATTTTACTATAATTTTTTTTTAATTTCTTTCTCTTGCAACTGTCAGTTGAGAGGTGATTGATCCAGAGCTGGAGGACAGTTCTGCCATCCTCAGTGTATGACTTCCAGGGTCCCCATTGTCACCTTTAGGTCAGAGGTAGCAAGGCAAGGATCTATAAAAGTTGACTCAGAAATTTCACTCATCACTTCTTTCACCTCCCTTTGTCCCCTTGTGCGTCACATGGCCACAACTAGCTTTGAGGAGGCTGGGAAAGGTGACTGGGTAACCATGTGTCCTGCAAAACCTCAGAGAGTTCTAGTACAGAGAAAGAAAGGAAAGGAGGGAGGGAGGGAGGACAGAAAGAGGGAGGGAGGGAAGAGGGAGGACAGATATTGGGAGGAAGCTGGCAGTATAGAGAGGCACTTTGGAGAAGCTGAAAAAGATGAAGAAAGAATTCAAGCTAGTGAATATTAGAATGTGGAGAATTATGTATTCCTCTTTTCTATGTTTCTATTCCAGTTTTAAAATAATGATAGTTTGTGTTTGCTTTTGTGCCCAACATTTTTCTAAGCACTTTACATATATTCTCATTTGGATCTTCATAACATGGGTACTTTTATTCTCCACATGGTTTTGTTTTTGTTTTTGTTTTTTTGAGTTGGAGTCTCACTCCTTCACCCAGGCTGGAGTGCAGTGGCACAGATGCTCATGGCCATCCCAAGCATCGACCTTCTGGGCTCCAGCGATCATTCTGCCTCAGCCTTCCGAGTAGCTGGAACTACAGATGTGCACTACCACACCTGGTTGTTTTTTATTTTATTGTAGAGATGAGGTTTCACCAGGTTGCCTGGGCTGGTCTTGCACCCGCGGGCTCAGGCAATCCACTCGTCTCAACCTCCCAAAGTGCTGGAATTACAGGCTGAACCACCAAGCCCAGCCATTCTCCACATCTTACACATGAGAAAAATGAGGCTCAGAAAGGTTAAGGGATTTGCCCAAGGCCAGAATTTGTTGTTGTTGTTGTTGTTGCCCAAAGCCAAATTGTGAACCCTGGTAGTCTGACCTCAGTGTGTGATCTTCCTTAGAAATTGGTTTATAAATAATTTGCTGAATCAAAACTACAATGAGATACTATCTCACACTGGTCAGGATGGCTCTCATCAAAAAGTCAAAAACAGCAAGTTGGCAAGACTATGGAAGAAAGAGAATACTTCTACACTGTTGGTGGAAATTTAAGCTGGTTCAGTCTTTGTGGAAAGTAGTGTGGCGTTTTCCTAAGGAACTAAAAATTGAGCTGCCATACGACCCAGCAAGCCCACATCTGGGAACATAGAGGAACAGAAATCACTCTACCAAAAAGACACCTGCACACATACGTTTATTGCAGCACTATTCACAATAACAAAACCATGGAACCAACCCAGATGTCCATCAAAAGTGGACTGGATAAAGAAAATGTAGTACATATCCATGATGAAATACTACGCAGCCATAAATAACAAAATATTGTCCTTTGCAGCAGCATAGACACAGCTGGAGACTATCATTCTAAGTGAACAATCACAGAAACAAAAATCTAAATATCACATGTTCTCACTCATAAGTGGACCCTAAACATTGGGCACAGATGCACAAAGGTGGGGATAACAAACGCTGAGCGCTGTCAAAGAAGAGATGGAGGAGGGGGAGGGAGATAAGGGACACACCACCACCCACTGGGTACCATGTCCACTACCAGGGGAGAGGGGACTTGCTAGAAGCCCAAATCTTACCTGCACACAACTTACTTATGTAGCAAATCCCCACATACACCCCACACCTACATTTTTATATGTAGAATTCCATGGTGTCATAATTCATTTGTGCTGCTATAGCAAAAACTATAGACTGAGTAATTTCTAAGCAATAGAAATTCATTTTTCACAATTCTGAAGGCTGAGAAATCCAAGATCAAGTCACCAGCATTCACTGTCTCAAGAGGTTCGTCTTGCTGTGTCCTCGCATGGTGGAAGATGGAAGTGCTGAAAGGACCTAAACTAGTTCCCACCAGCCCATTTATAAGGCACTAATCCATCTGTGAGAGCAGAGCCCTCATGATTTAATCACTTCTCCAAAAGGCCCTGCCTCTTAATACCACCATAATAGGGATTAAGTTTGAAAATATGAATTTTGGAGGACATTCAGACCATAGCATTTGGTATATTCACATTGTAAATCATATTGTTCTGAAGTTAATCACCTCTATCTATCTATAGACCGTTTTCATCTTCCCCACCTGAAACTTTGTACTCATAAAACACTAACTCCCCATCTCTCACTGTCCCCAGCCCCTGGCAATGGCCATTCTACCTACTGTCTCTATAAATTTGACTACTCTAGGAACCTCGTGTAAGTGGAATCATACAATCTTTGTCTTTTTGTGTCTGGCTTATTTCACTTATGTCCTAAAGTTTTAGCCATCTTTTTCATGTGTCAGAATTTCCTAACTTTTCAGGCTGAATTACGTTCCATTGCATGTATATACATTTTGTTTACCCGTTCTTCTGTCCATGGACACTGGGTTGCTTCCATCTTTTGCTATTGTAAGTAATTCTGCTGTGAACATGGGTGTGTAGCTATCCACTCAAGTCTCTGCTTTCAGATCTTTTAGGTATATACTGAGGAGTAGAATTGCTGGACCATATAGTATAATTGTGTCAATGAGAATACATGTGGAATCACTATAGTCCTTAAGAATATATTTTCACTCTAAGTTAATAGCACCTCAGATTTTATTAAGACCTCATAGCTGTCTCCTGAGGTTTAAAAAGTCATAAATTATTTCAGAAATATAATTGTATCATGGATTTTTAAAAAGTCTATAACACTGAAATGGAACCAGAAGATGGTCTAAATATATTTGACAATTTTACAAACCCCAAAATACATATAATGATTCTTCCTTTCAATTAATGATAAACCTTTGTTGTTGTTGTTGTTGTTATTGTTGTTTATTAGGAAAACACCATAATTCTGCAGCAGCTACTCCCATTGCGGGCCAAAGTGGCCAAACTTCTTGGCTATAGCACACATGCTGACTTTGTCCTTGAACTGAACACGGCAAAGAGCACAAGTCACGTGACAACCTTTCTAGGTTTGTTCCTTTTTTGTTTTAATCAGTTGTATGGTTTCAGTTTGTTTGTTTGTTTTTCTCTCACTGTTTTGCTGTATCACAGCAACTTGACAGAGGGCCTCAGAACCTAATATGACTTTGAGGACATCCTATGTTCCATTCATTCAAGAGAAATGTATTGATTGCCTATTATGTGTTAGATGCTATGCTTAGTACTGAGACTGCTCATTGATTATATTACTATTATAGTCCTTACTTTGTTCTATCTTATATCTTGGGATTTTTATGCTAATTCCCAACATGGCATCGAGGCTCCTAACAGAGTAATAAAAGTTATTGGCTCTATTCACTGTCACTAGGTATTTGGCAGTCGTAGCATGATTACTTATGAATTTGTATGAAATAAGCTGTCAAATATGATGTAAATGAAAATAGAACATATATGAACAAAAAGTAAACATTTTATATTCCAGAAACCACTCGTTAATGCATAATGGTAATGTAAAATATCAATCAAAACTATTGTCTAATAACTATGTTCATATTCACTTAAAATCATTAAATATTTTAGATCATAAATCTTATAATAACCATGGTTCTTCTGTCCATGACATTTAGACACTGGTTCTCTTCCCCATCCCTGTCCCACTCTAGGTGTCACTATTCCAAAAGTTCCTCTGGTTTTTCTTTCATTTTCATATGAAAATGGTTTTAAAACTTTAACCATGGTGACAATACTAATTTTCCTTGTAATTATCTATAATGAGAGTCAACAAAGTATGATTTTTTTTTTTTACTTTCCTCACTAGCTTCTTTCAAACTGTCAAACTATTTAGTCTATTGTTTTGATATCCTCTTATTAGCACAAAAAGTTGAAAAATAATAATGGGTTAAAATCAGCCTTTAGTCCTAAATTTACTCCACTGTGTCCTCAGTGCATTACTTGGCTTATTATTACATATGCTGGAATCATATACAACATGTAGCAGGTCCTCCATAAGTGGTAGGTGTTTGTTATTGTTTAGTTCATTTATTCATTCATGAGACATATATGAAATGACTAGCCAGTATTGGGCAGTATGCTAAATAGTAGGACTTAGTGGAAATGATGGTGAAGAGGTAATTGCCATAAAGTCTGCTACACGTTATATGGGAGGAGGGTTCAGAGTTAAAAGGTTTATACAAAATGCATCCTTCAGTGGTGACTACACATACTGGAGGTTTCCTTAGTAACCACCTGATTACTTAAAGGCGTTTTCCTTCTAATTTAAAGTTGGCATGTTCCCTTGCAAACTGTCCTCCCACTACCTGTATTCACATATTCTCTCACAGGCCTAATTGAAACTATATCTCTTTGTATCCTTCATGAGTTTCCTCATTTCTTTTAACAGCATTCTTCCGGCTACTACCCCTACTGTGGCGCTGCCTCCCAAACTGGCATGTCTCTTACAGAGCCAAGCACATTTTTGTCTTAACAAATGTAACAAGTTGTGAAAAATAAATATGTACGAGTATGCTCATTTAACCAAAGGCAGTAAAGTCAAAAGTTGGCGCAGTAGCTCACGCCTATAATCTCAGCACTGTGGGTGGCCAAGGAGGGAGGATCACTTGAGCCCAGGAGTTTGAGAAAAGCCTAAGCAACATAGCAAGACCTCATCTCTACAAAAAGTTAGCTGGGTGTAGTGGTGTTTGCCTGTAGTCCCAGCTACTTGAGAAGCTGAGGCAGGTGGAAGGGTCATCTGAACCCAAGTTGAGGCTGCTGCAGTGAGCCTTGCTCACGCCACTACAATCTAGCCTGGACAACAGAGTGAGACCTCAACTCAAAAAAAAAAAAAAATTGACCACAGCATATAAATTGTGATACCCAGAAGTTTTTCCAGCTAAAAACTGGAATTGCTGTGTCCTAATAGACCTTCATAGGAATGAGACAATGAGAAACTAAGCCCATAGCTGTCAAATGTGTTGAGCAATTTCTAGGCAATATTGACCACAGGACACATCTGATTTATTTCCCCTGGCTTTCTTAGGAGCTTAACTAACCTCAGTGAAGAAGAATCATGTACATGAGTTTAGTTTCACTATTGTGTTGTTCCCTGAATGATAACATTCTTGATCGGAGTTCTTTGAGATCAATTTCAGCTTTGTTGATGCTGTGAGGACATCACGGGCTGGCTTTGGTGGTGTTAAAATAATCCAGGTGAAGTGAGGGCCAATGGGAGACCAAACTTCACCTGTACCTAGACCACTTATGTGCCCAATACTTACTTGTATCCCACACCTTTAAAATTAAAAAATTGTAAAAATAAATAAAATGCAAAAAAAGAAAACTAAAATTAGTTGCTTTCCAATAAATTCAGTTTTTATTCTTTTTAGTAAAATAATTTCATTCTTTAAAAAGTTAAATCAAGTTATAGTTTCATAATGGTTTCAAAACAACATTAAAATAGTTTCATACTAAAGTGAATTTAAGGTGCAGTAATGCTGCATGTTGCAAAATCATGGTCTAGAATTTAATCATTATAAATGATTCATTATGGTGAGCTTGATTCACTAAGGTTATAAAATTAGACTTTTTTAAAAATTGGAGAAGACAACTGAAAAAAATGTTTATGTGCTGTGACATTAAATATTGTTCTATTATAAGTAAAATAAACAATTTCAACTTATAAGCATTTTAAACACTTAAAAAAATTTTTGTAAAAATCACCCCAAAGAGAAAATCATACTTTCATGATTCAGCTCCTACCTGATTTCCTGTTTCACTCCTTCCCTCCTTCCTTCTTTCCTCCTGATTTACATGCACGGAGAACTATAAAGGAGGAAGCACATGCTCAGACACAAGTGGTACCTGTGAGTGCTTGTTCCTAAGAGCAAGAGATCACTAACTTCTCCCACTTCCTTCACAGATGACTTAAGCCAGAAATTGAAACCCTTGGGTGAAGCAGAACGAGAGTTTATTTTGAATTTGAAGAAAAAGGAATGTGAAGAAAGAGGTTTTGAATACGATGGTAAAATCAATGCCTGGGATCTGCATTACTACATGACTCAGACAGAAGAACTCAAGTACTCCGTAGACCAAGAATTCCTCAAGGAATACTTCCCAATTGAGGTGGTCACTGAAGGCTTGCTCAACACCTACCAGGAGCTGTTGGGACTTTCATTTGAGCAAGTGTCAGATGCTCATGTCTGGAATAAAAGTGTCACACTTTATACTGTGAAGGATAAAGCTTCAGGAGAAGTATTGGGACAGTTCTATTTGGACCTCTATCCAAGGTACTGAGAATCACATCGTTGGAAGGGACTTTAGGGATTCAACTCCTACCCAGTTTAAAACTCTGTTCTTCCATATTTCCCACAGGTGTTAAAGATGAGGACTCTGAAGCCAGCCTGTAAGGCTTCGTCACTTACTAGACAAGTTACTTAATTTTTCTGTGCCTCAGTTTTCTTACCTTTATTACAGATCCTATAAAATGGGAATATTAATAATACTTGCTTTGTAGGGTTGTTGTAAGGATTAAATTGGTTAATTATAGGCAAGGCATGTAGAAGACTGCTCAGACATAGCAAGTGCTTAATAAGTGTCAGCTGCTATCATCATCATTATCTAATTTGGGGACTGCATTTATTTACTTTAAAATGAACCCGCCTGAGCCCACAGGTTCGAAACCCACCTGGGCAACTTGGTGAGACTTCATCTCTACAATAAAATCAAAAATTAGCCAGGTGTGGAAGGGCATACCTGTAGTTCCAGCTACTTGGAAGGCTGAGGCGGAAGAATTGCTGGAGCCCAGCAGGTCGAGGCTGCGGTGGCCGGGAGCGGCCACTGCACTGCAGTCTGGATGACAGAGTGAGACTCCAACTCAAAAAAAAGCCCCCAAAACAGTTATTCTTCAGGTAATGTGTCTGCCAATACTCTTAAATCTGTAGCCACTCCCTTTAGTCTGACTGAGAGGCACAGTCTAGTAGACATAGCAAAACCTTTGCAGTCAAATGTGAATTCAAATGCTTTAGTGGCATAACCTCATTGAAATTCTGGTTTCTTCCTCTGTAATACAAGGAAGAAACAGAAAAAAACGGAATTATCTTTTGGAAGGCGGGATCCTTATAGTACACTCAAAATTTGTTCCTCCGGATCAAACAGTTTTTAGATCTAACATTTGCAACTAACTATATGATATGTTTCCAGAAACATTGGTGGACCCATTGAATACTCAAAGGCTGAGCCAGCTGAAAATTTTAACAAATTTAGTGCAGTTTCTGGTGTACATAACCATGGATTCTCTTTCCTCTTCTGCCAGCCTTCCCTTCTCATATCCCTGTTCACTCGCACCTCAGCTTTGGCACAGTTGTTTATTTGTTTGTTTAAATATAAGCAGTTAATACAAGCAATAATTTTTTTCCTAACAAATACTTAAACTGCATCCTACAAATTTTAATGTATTGTATTTTCATTTCATCCAAATATATATGTAACAAAACCAAGGGGAAATAACAAAAAACACATATGGAAAAATCTCCAAATATTTGGAACTTAAAAAACATACTTCTGTATTTTAATCCATGGGTCAAAAAGAAACTCACCAGGGAAAGTAGAACATATTTCCCCCCTTGGTTTTGTTATTATTGGAAAAAAATAATAAAACTTATCTTTTCAGATCTTCTAAATTCATGATTTGTTTTATGGCCAGCATATGGTCAGTCTTGGTGAATGTTTCATGTGCACCTGAAAAGAACGCTTATTTTGGTATAGTTAGGTAGAGGGTTCTATAAATGTCAGTTTGGTAAAATTGATCCCTAGTGTTATCTGGATCTTGTGTATCCTGAGTGATGTTCTGTCTGCCTGTTCTATCGATTACTGAAAGAGAAGTCAAGTACCCAACTATAATTGCAGATATGTGTATTTCTCGTTAGTTCTATCAGTTTTTGCTTCATATTAGGGCTGTTTTTAGATGCATACAAATTTAGGATTGTTACATCTTCTTAGAAATTTACTTCTTTATCAATATATATTATCTCTTATTATCTTTGGTAATATTCCTTTTTCTGATGTCTGTTTTGTCTGCTATTATTATAGCCATGCAGCTTTCTTTTGATTAGTGTTTCCATGTTGTATCTTTGTTTATCCTTTTACTTTTAACCTATCTTTGTCTTTTTATTTCGAGTGAGTTTCTCCTATTGCTTCTCTGCCTTTTAGGTAAGATCAAGTGTAAAGTGGGTTTCTTACAGATAACATAGTTGGAGTTTTCCTTTTTTAAATCCACTCTATAATCTATTTTAATTAGTATGCTTAAACCAGTTGCAATTAATATAATTATTGATGTGATTATATTAAATCTACCATCTTATAGGCTGCTTTCTATTTGTTCCATCTATACTTTTTCTCCTCTCTTCTGCCTTTTTTTGGATTGAGATATTTTGATGATTCAGTTTTATGCCCACTCATTATATATCTATCTTTTAAAATTTTTGTTCATAGCTGCCCAAGGGTTTACAGCTTTAATTAATCACGTGATCTGATATTGCTTTACAATTCCTGATACTCTTTTAAAAGGGCTTTTTCTTATCCAGGCATGGTGGTGTGCACTTGTTGTAGTCACAGCTACTCAGGAGACTGAGGCAGCAGGAACACTTGAGCCCAGGAGTTTTCGACTGCATTGAGCTATGATCACACCACTGCACTCCAACCTGAGTAACAGAGCAAGACCCTGTCTCAAAAAATAATAAAAATAAAAATGGTTTTTCCAAACCTTTAAAAAAAATTTTGTGTTTTAGAGAGGATGGTTTCTACTGGCCTATCTTTTGGTTCATTGATTCTTTCCCAGAAGTTGAAGGCTTTTGTCCTGTAGTAGAGAGGTAAAAAAGGATTAGGTGATTCTTCATGTCCTACAGCAGCTGCTTCTTTCCTGCACTGATGCTTCCTCAGCGCTTTCACTCCGCCCTCTGTCTTTTTTGTGTGCGCCCAATGAAGTCAGTGGAGAAGACCCTGCAAATGGATGTAAAATTTTCCCTTGTCTGTGCCTCCTAGTGGTTCCCTAGTTTTTCTGGTCCACCAACAGCCTTTAGCAATTCACTAAAAAATTTTTTAACTGATGTCTTCAGTGTCTGCCCCAGGTAAAAAAAAGGGCTGACTTGCTTGCTTCCTTCCTTTCTCTCCTTGGAGGCACCTGCCTTAGATTGTGGGTAAGTTGATTGCCCTTCAGCCTCATCTCTCTGATGGGTTCCAGACAAGCCATGGTTTGCAAATTGTGTGGCATGTCATTGTTTTGTAGTAAAGACAGCAGCAATGTGCTTTCCTGTTATATACATCATAATGGGAAGATAGAAAAAGACTAGTTTGTTGTTGTTATTTTTTATTTGAATAGCATCAGCAGGGGGAAAAAAAAGAGTAATAAGAGTCACCAAGGAAAGACATTACAGAAAAAATAAGCAAGTAAAAACAAATCAAACTGAAAATAAAATCTACTCCAAACCTTAATGTGCTGATAGTCTTCTGAGGAGAAAGAAAAAAAAAGGGAAACTTACTATTAAAATGAAGTCTAATAGCTTTTGGAGAGACTATCACTGATACCACACTGTCTAAGAATAGACTAAATTTATAGTATAATTTATAAATTTTCCCAGGCTAACTAAAAGCCTTCTGTTTCAAACCTTATTTTATAAAAGAAGCTCATTTAAATGTGATTACTGACTCTTCCCTCCTCAAGTAAAGGAAGAAGTCTTATTTTCTGGAATTTAGTTTTTTACCTTTCTAATCGTAAGGAAAAAAACTACCTAGTGAGTCACATTCCATCATTCAAATGTCCTTCGACATTGTTTCATGTTTAGTGACTCTATCTTTGAAAAAGAAAGGCAGGAGCTCATTTAATTGGACACTCAGCCGTAAGCTAGGTATGGTGTACAGTCTTCATTCTTAAGTTTTTCAACAAAAGAAACCTTTTGAAGAGCTATAACTCACTCATAGTGACAGTAGAGTTATTGCTTATGTAGTATTACTTTCCCACTCTACCTAAACGACCCACTTTCTAAAAGATAAATTATTATCATTTTTTTTTTAAGTTGAGAAATCAGGATTTATTGAGTGGACAGAAAAACTCGCACGGTAGGAAGGGGCCCGAGAGGATTGCCCCTAAAAGATAAATTAAATGCTTAAAAGCATGCTCTGGTGTCAGCTAGGCTTAATGACCGAGAGAGGCCATGCCAATGTTGTTGCTAGAGAGGTGTTTTCCTGTCCCATGACACATGTTTCTGGCTCCTAGGGAAGGAAAATACAACCATGCAGCCTGCTTTGGTCTCCAGCCTGGCTGCCTTCTCCCTGACGGAGGCCGCATGATGGCTGTGGCTGCCCTTGTGGTGAACTTCTCACAACCAGTAGCTGGCCGTCCCTCTCTCCTGAGACATGACGAGGTGAGGACCTACTTCCATGAGTTTGGTCATGTCATGCATCAGATTTGTGCACAGGTGAGTGATTTTTTTATCTTTATTTTTACAGTAAACCTACTAATTGCTTCTCCAGAACTTTTTTTCACTGCTGTCAGGTTTCTCCCCTTAGCATGTTTTTTCAGAAGCTGAACATGTTCAAGAATTTCATAAACTTTCTGCAAAAACAAAATTTTCCTTATCACGTCGTCTTTTACAACATATTTTTATTCAGAGGTTAATCTACCAGTGAAAGAGCTTCCTTGAATAACAGCCTGTGGAAAAAGAAATAAGACTATCATTAAGGAAGGATTATAAATACTTTGCTTTTTCTTTTTAATTCCTTCTTTTTATCCACAAGAATTTGGTATAAATTTCACAGAAAAACTGCTGTGAAATTTTTTTTTTTTTTTTTGAGTAGGAGTCTCACTCAGTCGCCCAGACTGGAGTGCAGTGGCTGCTCCCGGCCACCGCAGCCTCAACCTGCCGGGCTCCGGCGATCCTTACCCGCCTCAGCCTTCCAAGTAGCTGGAATTACAGGCGCGCTACCACGCCCGGCTGATTTTTTGATTTATTGTAAAGATGAGGTCTCGTTGCCCAGGCGGGTCTCGAACCTGCCGGCTCAGGCAATCCACTCACCTCAGCCTCCCAAAGGCGCGGGATTACAGGCTGAGCCACCGAGCCCTGCTCTTCTGCTTTTTAATGCTTTGTTTACTTCAGTGGTTTTTCAACCCTCTCAAGTCCTTAGTCATTTTATTTTTTATTTATTTATTTTTTGAGTTGGCATATCACTCTGTCGCCCAGCCTGCAGTGCAGTGGCACACTCACGGCCACCCCAGCGTCGACCTGCTGGGCTCTAGTGATCCTTCCACCTCAGCCTTCCAAGTAGCCAGAACTATAGGTGCGCACTACCATACCCGGCTAATTTTTTGTTTCCTTGTAGAGACAAGGCCTCACCAAGTTGTCTCATCTGGTCTCGAACCCACGGGCTCAGGCAATCCACTCGCCTTGGCCTCCCAAAATTCTGGGATTACAGGCCAAGCCACAGACCCTGACCTAGTTCTTTTAAAATAATAAATATATTGACTGGGCATACTGGCTCATACTGTAATCTCAAGACTTTGGGAGGCTAAGGTTGGGAGGATTGCCTGGGCAACAGAGTGAGACTCTGTCATTCATAAACAAACAAATAAATAAATAAATATTTGGTTACACCTCCCTTCACTAACTTCAAAATAAAATCATAGGTAATATAGTATAACCATGCAGAGACTTTGCCAGGGAGGAGGTATATGTGTACAGTAGATTAAAACTGATTTATTTAGTTATGAAAATGAAAGGTACATTTATTTTCAATTTTATAACACAATCCATTTAACTAAGCCCAGACTATTCTAGCTTGAATAATATGAACCTACTATTTAATCATTATTAACATATGAAAATGTCTAGTTCAGTAGTTCAACCTAATAGTTTAAATATACCGATATTAACAGAAACTGAGCAGTTTCCCAAATTTGAAATCTTTATGTCTCTAAAGGTAAACTTTAAATTTAAACAGCTTTTGTTAAAATATTTTAGATTTACAGAAAAGTTGCAAATATAGTACAAAGATTGCCTATGTACCCCCATCCTCTTTCCCCTACTTTTAACATCTTACATTGTGGTAGTACGTTTGCCACAACTAAGAAGCTAGTTCAGCACTTGGTACATTGGTACAGCACTCCTAACTAAACACCACACTTTATTTGGACTTTTACTAGTTTTTCTTAATAGCCCTTCTCAATACAGATAATCTGTTGATTTAAAATAGGATGTCCTCAGTGAATATAAAGGAAAAAATTTTTGTGTTTTCCATGTGGCAAAGCCTGGTTTAGTTTTGTTTTTTGAGAGCCAGGGTCTCATTCTCATCCAGGCTGGAGTGCAATGGTGTGATCATAGCTTACGGCTGCCTCATACTCCTGGACTCATGTGATCCTACCACCTTAGCCTCCTGAGTAGCTGGGACTCAAGGCACGTGCTACCATGCCTGCCTAATTTTATTTTTTATAGAGACGAGGTCTTGCTATGCTGCCCAGGCTGGTCTCGAACTCCTGAGTTCAAGCAATCCTCCCACACTGGCCTCTCAAAGTGCTGAGATTAAAGGCATGAGCCACTGCACCTAGCCCTTCAAGTGGTAAATTTCAAGTGGTAAAGCTTGGGCATGGCTATGCAGTAAGACACAATACAGTATTCAGGAGGTTGCTGTGTGTAAATAACCCTAAATGGAGCAGCAGCACAAGCTAATAGAAGTACTTTGTGTTGTTAACTCAAGTCTAAGAGCAGTACTGCCAATGGTAACATGATTTTCCGAAATGATAAACACCTCCTGGGAAACATCAAAAACCCCAGTAAACTAACTTTGATTTACACAGTAGATCCTAGTACCTATAGGCTTAGAAATTAACATTGTGTAAAAAATGCTTTGCAAAAATATGTACAATGGAGTTCGTTTCTAGGCTCACTTAATTATAGTTTTTTTTTCACTTATATGAATGTCCAGCAGAATATGGAGCGATTTTGTTGTTGTCCTGACTTGGGCGGCATCAGTCCTGGGTAGGCACCTCTACAGCCCCCGGAGTAGTCCCTAGTCATTGTAATAACTAAAAATGTATCCATTCATGTCCAAGTTTCTACTATCACCTTTGTTTAAAAACTGTTTGGTTCTTTCAACGTTTTCTGTTTATATCCGGTGCTTTTATCTTGTATTTTAAAAATAGAGAAGAATGGGATATGAATACGTCCAGAGAAATAAGTCCTGATGTAGCCATTTCTAAACTCTCTTTAATCCAAAGAAAAAGAATCTTTCAGAATAATCTAAACTTTCTTTCTTAGATTATTTTAAAGTCTATTATATCAGAGTACTAGAGTTCCTGAAATATTTGTTGTATGGACTCCCATCAGTAGCCATTCTGTGGCTGACTCTAATCAAGATAACTCCAGTTTACAGTCCTCTAAAATATTTTTATGGGTAATTTTGAAAAGTTAAATACTTTTCTTAATTTTAGATTTATGAGATATTACTTAGATGATCAAAGATCCAGTTATATATTTGTACATAGATAATGACCTGCTTTTAGAACAGCAAATTCTTAATGTTTTGGATCTGAGAATCCTTATGAAATCTGATTTAATCCATGGGTACCTCTTCTAGAAAAATAGACACAAAATTATATGTAGACTTCCAAAGAGCTCATAGGCCCCTCGAAGCCCAGACCATAATGAATCCTAAGTTAAGAACTTTTGGGTTATAGCAGTTTCCTTCTTATTTGGATGTTGATTATCTGCAGGTGATTTCAGAAGGAAGTATCATGGTGTTTTCGTCATATTTATTAAGATAATAGTGACCTGCCCTGCTCAGTGGCTCAGCCTGTAATCCCAGCACTTTGGGAGGTCGAGGAGAGTGTACTGCCTGAGCCTGCGGGTTCAAGACCCGCCGGGCAACTTGGCAAGACCTCGTCTCTACAGTAAGTCAAAAAATTAGCCAGGCATAGTAGCACGTGCCTGTAATTCCAACTATTTGGAAGGCTGAGGCAGAAGAATCACCAGAGCCCAGCAGATAGACGCTCGGATGGCCATGAAAAAAAAAAAAAAACCATAATAGTGACCTTTAAATATGGCTCTCACTGCTCTTGATGTTTTTTTTTTTTTTTCAGGCACAGTCCTCTTATAACCTTAATATCACATGATCACAGTCAGTTCTCCACAGCTTGTCATATTGCTCTCATTATTTCTTACATTATTTTTGATCCTTTGAGATAGCCACTTCAGTACTGGAAAATGTTTTCTTGGTGCTATGACATTTTAGAGTTATTTGACTCATGACTGAACTATATATATATAGTGCATTCACCAGTTTAGTGTCTCTCTCGAAACAGTAGATATATTCAGTTCTTAAAGTTTTGCCTAACCTCATTCATGAGCACAAAATGTGTCATACTGATGAATAGTGTGTTGGTACAGTCCTGTGCTTAGTAATCTCCTCATGATATTTGCAAAGTTTCTTCTTTGTCTACTAATCTTTTCAGATTTCCTGTCATATTTTAAGAACTTTTAAGGTGACCATGTTCGGAACCAGTGATCCCTACTTTTGTCTTTCGTAGGCAGCTCTCGTATTTGAAACTTTATGGTATTTTCAAGATCTTTTGACCTAAAATGGATGGTAGTGAATAAGGAGATTCATAACTTCTGTGTTTAGTAATTCTTCTAGCTTATCTAAGAACTATACAGTAAATAAAAAAATGTGCCATGTATATTCAGTAGATTGGTTGTAAGATGTTACAGCTCAGTGTCTTGAGTTATCCGCTGTGGCAGTCTGCAGATCTGATGACCATGAGAGCTCGTTTGAACTTGTCAGAGTAATATTTAAGCATGTCAGCAGGAACATCCAGTTTTCAAACATGTAGATACACTAGATCAGTATGTCTACAATCACATTGTTCATTAGATGAGCTTCACTCATTTTCTTGTGTTTACACTACAGGGTAGGTAATTTGAAAGATAGCAATCAAGAGGTGATATGTCTAGTATCTGTTCCTGTTTCATGGTTCTGTTGTGGTCTGGGCTGTCAGTAATCACTGGCCTTTTGAACTTACGTCATATAGACGAGTAATGTCTCTCAACAACCTCCATTGTGATGTCTATGTTGTGTTGTGCATTAAGATCAGTAATGAATTTTAAACTGTAAAGGAATCATTATTCTAAGGAAACACATCAGAATCACACTGACGTATTCTTAATTGAAAGTGAAAGGGATGGATGGGCAGGAAAACTTTAGATTATGTGATTTCAAATAATCTGTTAATTTGGTTGAAGGACTAATAGAGCAGCTTGTCTGCTCTAAATATTTGAATTAGATACTGTCATAGATAAATATACTCTGGTAGTCAGGAAAGTACCCCATTGTTATAACAGGAGCACCAGATCAAAAATCATCTGTGTATCTGTAGGCCTGGCTGTGTGACTCAGGCAAGTTATTTCACTTCTTTGAACCATCTCATTTTTCTTATTCAGAAAATGAGGACATTAGTAATTAACGTATCTACTTTCTTGGACCATTGGGAACATTAAACCAAATAATATATGAAAAGGCACTGGGGTTCAAGACCAGCTGGGCAACATGGGGAGACCTTGTCTCTACAATAAATTTTAAAAAAATTAGCTGGACATTGTGGCATGTACCTGTAGTTCCAGCTACTTGGAAGGTTGAAGCAGAAGGATCACCTGAGCCCAGCAGGTCAAGGCTGTGGTGGCCATGAGTGTGCCACTTCATTCCAGCCTGGGTGACAGAGTGAGACTCCAACTCAAAAAAAAAAAGAAGAAGAAAAAAAAGGGCACTGAGAAAAGCATAAAGTGCC